AACTATTAAATTCTGAAAGAGGATTGGACGGGTGGTGAATAAATTAAAGAGGGGATGCCTAAACGAAAAAAAGTCGCATTTCCCAAACTAGTAGAAATTCGGAAATTAATTTCAATATTGCCTTATAAATTTAAGAACTTAAAACTTATATACTATTAAGATATTGTTTGTAATGAAGCACAATGGGCTATCTGTGCTCTGCCCACTACGGGTATCGAAACCCGGTTTCTAGCATTGTAAGTTCGCAGGCATACCGCTGTGCCACTAGGGGGGGGGGCACTGAAATATGGATTACATGCCACAATTTTCTGCTATACCAATTGGTATAAACAAAGTAGTTTAAATTTTGAATGTAACTCACTAAAAACCTCGTGACATGCTCAGTAAAGGATACTTTTGCTTCATACGATGTGGCCCACACCTTGATGGAAGTTGCACATGCCTGTTTTAAATGATGGCTGGTTATTGTAATATGTACTTATTAAATTTTTACCTAATTCGTTATGATAACTGTATTTATCAGAGTCATTTTTTTAATCTCCTTAATAAGAATCGATATTTTACCTGGCAGTCGCAATTAAGCAAAATTAATACAATCATATATATCGATTGCTGAAATATGCAACATTAATTTTAATCCACCTGTAACGATATAAAATATAGACATTAAGTAAATTATAATCCTTATAAAATATTGTACAACTGTTTTTTTTTTATTGACAAATGAAACAAAATGCAAACATATGTTAGTATTTAAAGGGTTAATTCACTATAACCACCTTTCTTTGGGAGCATTTCATTTGGGTTGACTGGTTAAGTACTTGAAGTCTGTCTTGACTCTCACTCAGTTCTGATTAATTATGGAGTTTCACTCATTTGTAGGGTGAGCTCAGCTCCTTTACATGTTTGAAACATGGAACGTCTGATTACAAAGCTCTATTGTCTTCTTTCCCCCACACAGTAGGTAATGTCTCTTTTACGGCCCTTGGCTGTGCTCATATACCTTGTTCTTCTTTAGGGGGGGGGGCAGTTTTGGATATTCACTTCCTTTGTGGGTAAAGTTTCCAAGTTATGGGTCCTATCACATCAATGTCCCCAAACTGTTGGCTGCTTATTGAGCTTGCCACCATCCTCAGTATCATCTCTGTTCATCTTGAAATGGATCCATTCAGATAGGGATCTCTGTTTTCTGGCTTTCAATTTACTTTTTAGGGTCCATGATCACCACATTTGGTTGTCAGCCTGTCATGCCCTAGGAACTGTGACTCCGGTAATAGATTGACCGTCTTGTTTGGTCTGGGTCCTTCCCACAGAGTGGACTTTTTATCCTCTGGTGTTTCAGCAAATTTGTTCTTCTTTGGGAGCCCTCTCATTTATGCCTTTGTGACTACCTTCAACTCCCAGCTTTCACTTTTCTGGTCACCAGTCCCAGACTGAAGTTTTGATAGTAGATGCTCTGATCCAAGATTGAACCAATATCTTTCCTTTACGCCTATCTTTTAATTCGGCAAATGAATGAGGTCTCCCACAGAGTGATGCTTCACTAGGCTACCCTTCCTATTGGGTGACACACTCCAAGAATTTTCTTCTTTCTGGCACCATTGTCAGAAATGAGCTCATATTTTTAGTTCTTTATCTGTACTGGTCCTTCTACCATCTTACCAATGTGGAATATTTGTTATTTGCTGTGCCGAGACATGTGTAAACATTTCTGAAAGTAACATTTTCCTTACTTGAAAATGTATTTCAGATAGTTACCCACCTTTTCACAACCTCAAACCCTTACTCCCTACTACTGGTATTTCTTTTGCATCATCAAGAATGAGCATTTGTTCAAATGCTAATGCTCATGCGGATTCCTGCTTATGGAGGGTGTGTCACCCTACTATTGGTAGAGGGCTATAGAGTAATGATAATTACATTATAGGCTGTCACAATATGTTATTACCTGTAGGAGTGGGAGCTTCATTTAAACATTCGTGGCAGTGTGTGATGTAACAACTCTTTCTTGTGCAATAAGGTAACTATCATAAATACATTTTCAAGGAATTAAAATGTTAACTGTAAGTGTGTCATAGAAAATTAAATTATCATAAACTTTATGAAGATTTCCTGCATTTAATTGTGTTATGTTAATATAGCTAGAATACATAAAGTATTGCAGAAATAGTTTTTGGTGAAAATGTCAAATTTGTTTAAATTACCACTTTGTTTTTTCTAGGGCTAAGATGTTATAGCCAAAAATATTAAAAACTTTAGATATCAATAGGAAAAAGTTTTCACCCTCCTCTAAAAGCTGTATTTAGATTATAATCATATGAAATATATTTATGCTTGTCAACATTGAATAATTTTTGGGGTTTATTTGTAAGAATTACACTCAAACCAATAAATGTAAACTTGGTTTATTAAGTAATTTATAGTTAAATAAAATGTGCTACTTATATACACAGAAAATGAGTATCGTAGCTACAGTTATGCGGAATTCATATTGCCCGATGCTGGGGACAACTTGTGTTATCATTATATTTTGTATGTTGGACAAGTTGATTTTTTTCCCCTCCTACAGGTTGTTCACTCTGTTGCTAAAAAAAAACAAAACAGGCATGTATCTAGGGAGCCATTCACGTTAATGAACATTCCGAGCTGTAGAAGTCTAGCATATATACATATGTATATAGTCCAAAACTATATACATAAGTAAATAAATAAAAATATTACATCATTTACATTACTCGTCAATAGGCAAGCAAAATCAGAACTGTAAAGCAATAATGAACATAGTGTAAATTCAAAACTATTTAAAGGAACAAAAAATAAAAACCTTCGCACTTTCCAGTCATTATCCAAAAGTCATAATGGAGATTCCCTGTGGTATTAGCACCCACAAGCGTTGGGGATATCCCATCTATCAGACAAAATCCAAAAAGCAGATGAGAAACCAGTTGGCAGTCGTGGAAAATTCATTATGGATACAGAGTTAAGTCCTTACACCCACAACGTCTCAACTCTTACTGCCGTTCACTGTCTGCAGCCTGTTGTGGGAAGGCAATTATCCTTAAAAAGATGTAATAAAGTAAAAAGTAGAAATAAGATAAAATCAAGCCGTCGCCACCCCCAAAAAAGTTCTAAAAAATCCCTTAAGTAGAATAAATATCACCCTAATAATCCTGCTATAGTATATGTTACTCCCAATCTCCACCCTTCTTAAAAATGAAGTATTTATTACAAAAGATCTTAATAAGAACTACAAAACCTACCTTTCAATAATACAGTGAACTGGATTAAGGTGCTACAGAACTTCTAAGAGTATAAAGCTTCTGACGCAGGACTCTAGATGGTGGGTAGACCAAGGATGAAAACATTAAATGCTCTTCTCTTATCAAAAATATTTAGATGTACTTTTCCCATTTATTAATTTGATATCCATATCTAAATAATTAGCACATACATTATTATTATTACTTTTCTTCTATTTCAAGTTATTTTGGATATATTAGACTTGGTGTAAAGAACCGGTTGTTTATAGCAATTAGATCGTCTGTATAACGAAGAATATAATTGTATAACTTAGGATTTGAAACCTGTTTCATAAATGCATTTTCAAAAAAAAAAACAACAACAACAAACAACTATAAATTGGCCAGATTTGAAGAAAGGTTAGCTCCCATTGGAATCCCCACAGTTTGTTTATATAACTGTTCATTAAAAGTAATATAACTATTATAAACACAGAAATTAATAATGTTTTTACACTGAATTTTAGTAAATTTATACTTAGTAATATTTATTTCTGTGTCTATAAAGTCAAACAGATAATTAAACACTTTTATCAAATATATACGTATGTATACAGTTTAAATATATGTTCTCGTATCCTAACGCATCATTCTTATGATGACACATACTTGTAATTATTATTGTTGCAATAACACAGGCCTGCGAGTTTAAACTTCATAAAAGTTGTTTTGGTTTTAATAATGGATTTTCCATAATTCAGCTACCCAGATTTCGAAATAAATATTTCTTTTTTTTTCTGTCACGTAAGGATTTTTTCCAAATCGGGAAGAAAAAAAACTCTTACTTAGATCAAATTATTAATTCGTTTATCACAATGAAAATTTTTTTGTTATTATGTTTGTTAACAAAAAATACAAACAAACGAATGTGCATCCTCATTCATCCTGATTTTTTTTTGGGAAATTACGTCTTTTAGTCTCAAAACTACTTGTTGCCTTTCTTTTATGTATTGCGTTATGAAATTTTGTGAAAAATCTGTACATGATGGAGAAAAATGGATATTATTTTCGGATTCAGCGTACAGGAATTACTGTAGGATATGTAAACATTT